GGTTGCGTCGGGAGATAGCATGTCCATGTGAATGTCTGCAGTGAACAGCGTACAGTACCCGCTATCTACTATGTGTCCACAGGCATGCGGCGGTCACCCAAACCCCCGTAGTCTTTGTTCTCGCGGTCACAAAGCTCTTACAAAAAACGCTTCCGGTGGCACCAAAAGGCCTCGGTAGGTAGGGTCTAAATGCGGACACACACTCAAGGGTCTTCATTCCTGACCCTGAGTGACTTTGAAGTGTTCGTAATATTGCGACAACTGTTTTTACAGCCTCACTCGGTGTTTTGTGCCCGCATGCTCCCCTCCCGCACCCCGTCAGACCAGTCATCATGTTCACAGTTTCAAGCTCAACAAAACACTCGAGTTGTCTGATTGGCCTGAAGTCACTAATATGCGAGGGCGGTGTGGCCTTGGACAGCGCCTCTTCAGCCGGCTCCAGTGAAGAAATGACCACCGGCCCACTATCAAATCCGTTAACCTCCCCCCAGTCCTGCTTCCTTAGTCAATCGGAAATGTACATATTCACGAGCCCTGGGTTTGTTCATTGTCCGAGTCGCATGACAGATTGCACGCACGGACAAGCATACACGAGCTGCAAGAATCACCTCACCCCCCTACGGCATGGTGTGATGGCGTCTTGGTCGCATTTCACCACAGGATGAATTCTCCTTATTTCCACTTGAACGCACTTTGCACCTCGGTAAGTTCCTAGCCAGCTCTCCAGGTAAACTGTTAAGCCAGCGTACGACCTTCCGAGATGTTAACCCGGTAAGTGGATAATGAGCTCACCTCGGGTATGAGTACTGCAAATGACAAACATATGCTCTCCGACTGCACCTAACTACTGCAGCAAATCTGAAACTAAACTCAAGAAGTTTACCAAACCCCCACAAGCGCGGATTTGCCAAACTGAAGAAAATGCGAAAACCAGTTCCATCTCTGTCCGTTTTTGTTCCCATTTATTTCGATTGAGTCGGACGATATGTCTAACGGCTTCGTTTGTCGCCTCTTCTTGTTTCGCTGAAGGTGATATCCATCGCCTCTTTCCGGTTTCTTCAGATTCTTGTGGTCCTGCTCGATAAAATTTTTTCATGTCTTTTCCATTGTGTTCTTTGGATTTAATTTTGCTATGTTTGTGGGGTGATGCTACTATTTTAGTGAGGAAATCAACGTCTGCTTCTAATTTCAAAACTCTGGTGGTGAGTTCGCGGCATCTGTCACAACGTGTCGACATTTCAGTATTTAACTTATTTGCGGTCGATTTCAGTATTGCATTCCGCTCTTCATGATTGGTGGTCTGTGGCTCATCGCGCCCAGGTGAGGGCGAGTAAAGCACTTCCGGCAATTTTTTATTATAGGAAAGAGAAACCGGTTCACAAATGAGGGATAGATCGTCTTTTCTGAATGCATATTCTTTTCTTTGTCAGCCGGGTGTTCGGACGTAACCAGACAAAGCAAGTCTCGTTTCCAAACGAAATTCATTATCAGATGTCATTTGGGGATAAGGAACGACTTATTCTTCGCAGACAGCTTGTCAGTAATCTCTGCTTTCTGCTCGTCTACGATCACTTCGCTGACGAAGGATTGACTTCGGAGTCACGATGGGGTGAGTGTTGGAAGGAATCTGTACTAAACCGAGTCAGGCACTTCGTTGAGCTTCGGATAGCGTTTTCCGGCGAACCTCAACGAAGGATAAAAATATTGTTGATAATGTGATCCGCGAACAGGAAGGTTAATTGCACTTCTAAATCGATTCTTCGCGTAACTCTGGGCACAGACGGGTAGTCAAAATGTCAACTCAGGAAGACGAACAAAATCTGATCGAATTCAAACAGCGCGCTGATTTTCTCGTTTACGAGTGATAGGGCTCCTCGAGATATCAGCATCAATCTGACGTAAATTAGGGAATTCGAAGGAGAGATATTGACGTTTAGAGAGTCTATTTCATGCTCCTCATCGGTCGTAGTAAATAAAAGAGTGCGTGGATGCAGAAAAACTGGGTCAACACTTTTGTAGCGTAAACGCTAATTAAAAGTATAAAGAAAAAGATAAACAAGAAAAACTTTACTTTGTTTGGAGGACGCCGCTTTAATTACGAGAAAAATAACGGCGGCAAAAAGTATGGGAAAACGTCAAAGGTAAATAACTGTGAACACTCACAAAAAAATAAATCAATTTCCAGTATCTGTTGTCGTAACGTACGCCAACATTCACGTGAATGTTCTGGGTAGAATTTAGATGATTACGGGCAGGAGTCAGCTACCGAACCTTGTTGCGCGGGTGGATTCGCGTCCGGCAAAATATGACCGAGAAATGAAAGTGTTTTGTGGCAATCGACTAAAAGGGATTGAGGCGCATGAGCACAATGGACGAAACAATGATAGCAAGCAGCAGACGAGCACAAAAGCACGCGCTGTCTCAAGCCGAAACCAATTGTGTACATTTTTTAGTAAATTTGAACAAAAGCACAAAACAGCTCAGATGTGTAAGAAAGTTTAAATTAAAAATCGAAAATACACATACACCTACAGTGCCTTGTGTACAACCGCGCGTTGTCCTAGGGGTGTACCGCCTTACGATGTAGCCCCGCTCGATTATTCCAATATCCTTCGAACTCACATGGTCCGTGTGCTACTATTGTTGTCAAACAAGTAAAAACCATTGTCCTCGCGATATCTTTGTTGTAGACAATTTATACGTCGGATTATGACTCCTTTTCGGTCCCCTTCCCGGTTTTCACGCTTTCTCAGTCTTGTTGCGTCTTTAATCTAACAGATTATGCTTTTCGGTTAAAGGTTTTCACTTAAAGGTCTAAGATCTCAATTCCTTCTCGCATCGCTTTAACCGCTATTTGTTGTCCACCGTTTGACGGCACTTCCGATAAACGCCCTCTTACGGGTATCTGCTAAGCATTCTAGATCTTAGGGTGTGCTTCTAATCCAGGTAAATTCTAAAGGCGAACTAAACAGATATGAGGATGTCACGAACTTCGACTAACTTTCACACTTTCACCACGATCTGAGAGTGCTTATTTTACCCAGTTGAAAGTACAGTAAAGCAGACGCACTGATCGCTGATAGGTTTTCTGACATCACGTGCCCTCCGCACAAAGCGCGAAAACATGATGGTGGTTAGTCTAAATAAGCGCAAAGCAAATCTGTGACCGCTAAAACAAAACCAAAATGATAAACCAGATGGAAATGCAATAGCAAATAGCATTCCATTGCTGTCATACCTAACAGACTACTAGCAATACCTACCGTTAGCCCTTCTTTCATCAGCTCAGCAGGTCTATTCACCGTCCAGTAATTAATGTCATATCTATTTTACTAGCGTCACCAGATGTATTATTTGCAGCATACAATCATGAGAAATCCTATAGATTTTCTTGGCTGCCCCACACTCTCTACCCTGAAAATCAACTTTATGGCCGTTCAATGTACTGTTCTGCATTAATCTCCTAAACTGGGCACGTAGGACCAGTACCTGCTCGGCATACTTGCTTGGGAGTGGTAACTTAGCTAACTTTTTGGAGATGCAGGACTTTAAGCACGAAAGTCCTGTATATCATGTTGCTTGAAAATTCACATCCACTGGAATTTCTGGATTGGTATACAGTCACTCTTTGATCCACTTTGAAGGACTTTACCGTGATTTCGTACCTCTTTCTATGAAACGCAATAAAAACAAGTGGGCACTTCTTGCCTTGCATTAGTGTCGAGTTGCTTGGAAATACACATATCTTGGTATTTCTTACCTGGCTAAATTTCGTAATGGCATCTTCCAGGTCGCTCAGGAACTGGAAGTAACCCCAAACACAAATTCGCCAAACTCCTACTCGACAAGAGACACAGACGCCATCGTAGTTCATATTGGGGAGTTCGACCAATCGCCGAAACCGCGAAACCATTCCGCAAAAATTGTCAGTTGTTCCCTCCCTGAGAATCGCAGTATTTATGTAAATGCGAAGTTTAAAAGTAATTTTGTGTTTATATTCTTTACAGATATTTTTTGCGGACGGCTACTTCACTCAGTCTAAGTACTCGTTTCTCTAGTTTTTTAGTTCTATAATTTTTGCACCATGTTGGTTTTGTTGCACAAACGGAAAAAAATAAATAAATTCCTTTTCCTGTTCTCAGGGGTTTCAGCGTTATAATTACTTTCCTTCATTGACATCACGAAGTCCACCGCCTAAACAGATTGGCGTGATTACAATGACGAATCCCAGATAACGACGATTATTCTAGTTTTGTTTTCGAAGTTCAGTGGATGCATTAATTAGTTCAAAGTAAAGCATGCTTTACTTTGAATTAATTCGAAATTTCCAATTAAGCAATACGCATGGGTCAGAATTAAATGAACCAAAGTAGGAAATCACTCACCAAAATTGTGTACATCAGTTTCATGAAGTTTTGCGCTGAATCTGTCGTGCACTTTAAATTGCCACGGCTCCGAAGTTAAAATGAGTTTTACCCGACATCCCGACTTGGCGCTTTTCTGACTGTCACATTTTGTGGTTTCTTCGCTGTCTTAATAGTATATAGTCGCTTGGTCGAGGATAAACCGGTTACGGCTGGAGCTAAAAGCCTAAAATACAATAAGTACCGGTC